GGCTTTTACAAATTGTAGAACGAGACAGGTAACATTTTTAGACGATTTGAAGATTAGATAGTTAAACTTATGACTATTTGGATGAATAATTGATTCTATGACACAACTATTCCGGTTTTTCCGACAAACATAGTTTGCTTGTTGGAAAGCAAAGATATTCTGATTCCCTTAATTGCTAATTCCCATTAAAATTAGGTGAAAGATGTCGACAATTTGCGTGGCACATTTAGTACTGCGTTATGTATGAGTGTGCCAGGAGAAACTGGATTAGGCTGCTTTGAACTGAATCAAGAATACATTCAAGACAGAGTGAACTATATCAAGCTAAGGGGAGTGGATTAGTAAAACAAAAAAAAGAAAATTGTTTCTATTTGTGTAAAAAAATTGTTTCTTGATTTGTTATTTTTTTCAAATAATCTTTGGCACACAAAGGACAAGCAGCGGTACCTCTACAATTAAGTAATAGGCGAGCAGTTCTGTCATGATGACTGTCTTCACTTGCAAGACACGAAATAAATACATGAATAGATTGGTAAATAGACGAATACACTTATTTACTTATTTACATATGTTTTTTTAAACGAAGATACCAATAGAAATAAGAGTAAGAATGATCGTAGCAATAACTGCGATATGGGAAGGCGAATGAGGCACGCAGTCTTATCATCCCCAAGTCTATTACTATCTCAGGTTCAGAACCCATTAATGAGCTCATCAAAAGTCCACTCTGGAGTGTCTGATTGTTCGTGACATTGAAGGTGATAGGGGCGAAAATAGTTGTCAAGCTTATACAAAACATCTGGCTGCTTAAGTGGGGTTTTCTTCCGCGACGATTATGGGCAGTAATCACGACAATAAATAACGATAATACCAGAAAATGTGCTTGATGTGCTTGAGTTCGTCGAAATGAAAATCATGCATTAATCACAAATGTGTACATGAGAGTGTTTCGTTTACTGAAAATTTTTTTAAGAAGTGGCTTTCAAAAATTCCTCGTCTTTTTATAGCATGACAAATTCTGTTGCACAACTTCCCTCCACTTCTCTTTCCTTCCCAACTTCTCACCAATTCTTGGTTCTTTTAATTTTTCCGAGCTTTTAATCTCACTTATGAAGCACTCTACTTCACTCTTCCAGGTGTACGGTACGATCTTATTTTCTATCTGCTTCATCTCCCACTCATTTACCCTCATTCATACCACTCTGTCTTATCTTTCTTCACATCTCTAGCTTTCAGCTTCATAAACTTTCCATTCTTTAAAAATACGTGGATATGGAATATTTCAGGGTCAGAATGTCTTAATATCGATGTGCTAAAAATGACTGCTATCGGCTTCACGATTTTCTCTTATTTAACTTACATGAATATCCCAATAGTTTTGCTTTCAATTCTGATGGTTGTCTTGCTAGTAGGATAAAGTTGTTTAAATCGTTATATGAAGTGTTAAATGAAATTAAGCGAAATGGAACTTGGAACGCACAATAACATATTTAAAATACTTGTAGCAGTGTACATCATCCGACCACTGTCTTCTATCTCCGTAGCTGTAGTACTTGTGGCAAATCATAGGTCAAAATTAGGATCTCTATTTGGGGAGCACTTTCAGAGAAGCATATCAAATTGTGAAGTCAGAAAGTACTTACAAGGCAGCCTGTTCAGGTTCAAAAGATCGAAAATATTCGAAATGTTCAGGAGACCCATCAATTGTGATCATTGGCAATTGTTGGCCAATAATTTAGTTCGAAGGTGTTAACCCTCATTTCTCTTTTCAACACGTTGTTGTGCCAGCTTTATTCTACCTACCGTTAAAGATCAGACGGTCAACAGAGGAGATAAAACTAAAAAATTTTATGTGGGTCAACTAAGAAAAAAACTTAAGGTGAATTCAGATATTTGAAATGGATGGGGACCAGAAAGTTTGAGAGACAATTGAGATAATGAAATTTACAAAAAAAGCAAACATGGCTCTTTATGAAAAATGTGATGTACGAGGACAGGAATATTTGTTTCCAGTAATGTTGCGATATGAATTCAAGTACTGGATTATCATTACCTCATTTTAAGTCATCTGAATTCGCTGTATGGTAATTATTTGCATCCCTTTATGAAGCAACATGAAGGACCGGTTTAACAATGAAATATAACAGATCAAGTATTCTGATATCTCTTAACTATAAATGCCGGATTTTAACCTTACTTGTGATAACTGGTTAAAATGCGACGGTGCAATTCACTGTCAGCAATGTGTAACATTTTGTACAATTTGAGTAATATTTTTTACACTGTAGAGATATTGTCTTTTTTGTGATAATGCTGTGCTACTAAGGCACCAACAAGTAACAATAAATTTCACCTAATATTTCCGCTATAAGTAGGCTCTTGTTTATGCACATGTTTTAATCATCTAGTAACAAGGCTGATTTAAGCCATATTTACCAAACCAATGACAATTCTATATGATATATCATTTAATTAACTATCACAGTTTTGACAAGCTAAACTTTTTTTCTCAAGTCGCAAATCTCTTATAACTCTCAAATTGCAGCCAGTCACATGCTGAAAATTGAGGTTGGGAAATGCAAACTAGTGATAGGTTAGATACTGGATGGACATAGTTTGATGTGAGTCTCATCTAAAAGATTTATTCCCAGATGCATTCAAAGTGGAGTAGTACGACGTTCAGCAGGTAACTACAGTGAGCATGATGTTAGTCAAATTAGTTTTAATAATACATCTTTAGCAAAAGTGAGGGATTTATAAAATGTCGACTGTGTTTCAGTTTATATTGATATCAATACTCCAACAACTTTTTCTATATTTTACCAATTTTTCTCTGTTTCTTACATTTTTACACCCTTGCTTCAACCATAAGGATTTATACTAATCAATAATGAAACATACGAGAAGTTTAATTATAAATTTTCCCATAAATTAAAAAAAAGAACTGGTTCATTTACTCACATGTTTTTTTTTTTTTTTATCGTCATTTCGATAACATTAGAAATGTACGATAACGAACATGCAGATTTTAGCAACAATAATGAATCTGCGATATTTGTATATTCTCAGCATATGTGTTACTTTACTTGTAAAAGCAGAGGAGAAATCGGATTTGGAGAAAATCTTCGTTTATATATTTATTCAAGCATCCCAAAGAATGTAAATATTCCAATAGCTCTTCCATTTATAAACCCTGTGATCTTAAAACATTAGAAAGATGCTAAATAACTACTGCTATCTTCGATAAGTCCAGAGTTTGCGAAAATAATTTTTTTCCCTGAGATTTTGAAGAGGAGACGAAGCATAATTAAAAATACGTGCAAGAGAAAAATGACGTTCAAGACAAAAATGTGCTGATGGTACGTTAGTGAAGTAAAGCGTGATAATGAAATGACACTCAGCAGAAAAAAATTTTGAAGTCCCAAAACCAATGATGAGTGAAAGTCTGCGTTGGATGCGTCAAATTTTTTTCCCCATCACCTATTTTCTTTAACTTATAGTTTTTTTTGATTGGAAACAAATACTCAAAGCGTGGACGTCCAATTACAAATTTACATATTCTCTGTTTTATCATGCCACACTTTTTTCTATTTCTGGAATAAGTCTGACACATACATAACAGTGATCGCATTGTATTGTTGCATGAAAATATCCTTGTCACTTTGTCACTCTTTCTTCTTTTTTAAGATTTATTAGCAACCTCTTTTTTTGAAAAGAGGAGATGCTAAGGTCATTTTTAGCATCTGTCTTTTTCTAATTACTTGGATGAAAACTCATTGTAGCCCTTTATCAAAAATGATAGAACTTATCTTTTTTTTCACAGTTGTTTATTCACAAATTTGTTCTACAAATCCAGTATTTAATTAAAACTGGATAGTAAGCATTTTAAATTCTGAATGAAAAATCGGATGAAGTTGTCAAACAATGAATTGATACAGAAGTGACAGCTGTTTTTACATTGTTCAACTTGTTGTTTTATATTGGGATGCATTCGTAAATAATACAACTCTATTATACATTTTAGTGCCTACTTCCTTGCTTTGTTTTTTGGCTAATGAATTTATAAGTAAAATAAGAAAATGATGCCAGGCAAAAATTAAACTTTGAATGTTCTTTTTTTAACTGAATTCGAAATGGATCGTGAAGTAAGGAGTAAGTGAAGTAACAATTTATCAAACTCAGGAAACACTTTCAAAAGTACAGTTCAATCGCGGTCCAAATTTTATAAGGTGAATGAGAAGCGTAATGACTGATTATTGGACGTTAACAATGACAACTAGAGCGCAATCACTAAAGCTGATTCTCTTTTAATTAACAAGTTATGGAAAAATTCAGTGTCAAACTTTTTATGTCGTTTGCATTTAAAGAAAATTGAAAAGATGGAGGAGCTCAGTAAATGGCTACCTCGTAAACTGAACGATAACCGGAAAATATTTTGAAATGTCTTTAGCTCTTATTCTACTTTATTCAATAACAACGAATACTATTGTGGTGTGCAGCAATAAATGGATTTGTATACGGTTATCGGTGACGACCATTGCACCGGTTAACGGAAAAGCACCCAACGCTTCCTAAAGCAGACCTTATACCGAAAAAGGATTACTGGTCTAATGTTATTGCAACTTTCTGAGTCTCAGCAAAACCATAAATCTCATAAAACGTAGCCAAAAAATCGATGAGATACATCGAAAACTGCAAAGTCCTGCAAAGTCTTTTTACTCCACACTGGCTAATAGAAAATGAGCAGTTGTTCACGACAACGCCTGGTCACACATTAAACAACCAACGTCTTAAAAATTGAACAGAATACCCTTTGAAAACTTGCCTGTATTTCTTTGGATCATTTTTAGCAGTCAGCTATCACTTTTCAATCATCTTGGTCGCCTTCCGCAACGGAAATGCTTTCATTAGTCAAATCCTGAGGTACAGGTTTCTATGATGCAAGAGTAAACAAATTTATTTCTTGTTGATGAAAGTGTCTATGGTTTCTATCATTAAAAATGTGCTCAAACTTGGCTATAGTAATTTGAAATTTACGATCTGATCAAACGAAATATCCATAAATACTCAACGATAAGTGGTAGTTGTCAAGCTTAGGAAGTAGAATAATATGTTTTTGGATCTTCACTATCTCTTTGATCCTTTGAAAGATTTATAAATGTTTTGAAATGTCAGGAGATAAACGTGCAAAACTTGAAGAAATTTAAAATAGAAAAAATATAAAAACACTTTTTCAAGTTTGAGTCACTCTGTTCTTTGTTTCTCTTTGCTTCTTGAGAAGTTCATATAGATATGAAATTGAATTTCGGGTAATTAAATTTACCAAGCAGACTACACAGAAATCGGAATGAAGTTTACCCTGAGACTAGACTTGAAAGTTTTTAAAAAATACTATTTTTATTAAGAAAAATTCTTCATTGCTATTTTGCACTTCTTTGTTACGCTTAAATAGTGTGTGGTCCAGAACTTTTAGAGAAACTTTACAAAGTTTTGCAAAAGGAATTTGCGAAACGAAGCGGTCAAAACTTACAGTCTTAAAATTTGTTAACCGGACAGAATATCAATCACAAATAGTCCAAGCATTTGGAACAGCCGTAATCTTTGGTAAGCTAACTCTACAAAAAAATGAGAGGGTAATTATGAAATAGAAACAGTTTAGAAAAAAAAATAAGTAAAAAGTTGGAATAATTTACAAATCAAATGCGACATCTGCTCAGAGGATTTATAATTTTAAATGCGGTTTAGGAGTATGTTTGGGAAATCTGAAAAGTTAAAATTTCTAATGGATAAATTCAAATATTTAAGGTTGTGATCCGTTTGAAAATGACAAAGAATGGATACCGGCACATCGGCCGTGCACTATAAAATGCGATATACATGCTGACATCTGCACGAAAAGTGTTAAAAACGACAAACAGAAATGCCAGAAATGTTTGCATTTTTTAAAAGTTTTTTTCTTTTCTTTAAAATTTCTTCAAATTGGAGTCCAGCATGATTGTAGAAAATGAAGTAATTATTTAATATTTCATCTAAAAACTTCGATTTTCCCTCAAATTTCTGTGACTGCACACTGATCTCGACTCTGCTAACACGTCAGTGGGGAGAACAATGATGATGATGATAGCCGAGAAGAGGAAGAAAGTAATTTTCTCTAGTACATCGGAAATTTAATTTTTCTGAGTTTATACAATAAATTAAATCAAATAGATGATATAAACCAATCTCCAATTAAGCTTAGGCCATTGTACTACTTTCAGCTATTTTGTGGTTTGACTATGGAAGCTGAATTCAAACCGCAACTTTTCGCCACTCAAACCATTAAAATTCATGCTTCTAAATGTCATCAAAGTGAATAGTAGTAGCGTAAGTACCAGGATCGAACTGACACGTACCAGTGAAAATATCAATTTCATTTTTGGGTTCGTTGTATATATGCATGTGCACTATAAGCATCAGTATAACTAGAATCAAAATTAGTATAACTCCGTCAAGTTCGATTAGGTTCATAAAGGAATAAACAATATATAACGAATGCATGCTTGGGATTTCCAAGACCTCTTTATTTATGCAATAATTGCGGATCGAAAAATATTTAGATCCAATCTTATATGGGGTATAGTTTGAACTGAATTTAAAACTGTTTCAGTGCCTGCACATTGCGTAAAAGGTCTGAAGAACCTGTGGTGATCATTCTTCTCGCCGTCTTTTCGTTCAGTTGATGAAATAAAAGAATTTTTGTCCTTCCTTATTCGTGCTGTCCGATAGGTAACTTCAGTAAACCCTACCAAATACCGACCTGTTGAACACGTCAGTGAAGTGAAGCAACATGCCAACAGTGGCCAGAATTTACCACCACCGATGTAATTCCTTTCATCAGACTATGACCTCCCTATAGAAATCTAGTGCTACAAACTCTATGCCACACTTCTCGAAAAACCTAACAGTAATTAACAATCCTCCTCAGAGTCGATGGATTGTGGCTGCCTCTATCTACCACAGTGCGGAGACTCAAAATTCTTTGGGTGTTGTGTTCAAAAGTCATTTGAAACACAGAATTCATTCAAATCTAATTACAAGTAGCAAATAAAAGTTGCGGCAAAATGGTCAAGTGTAAGTGTGATCACGTATCGTATAATGTGCAGGATAAAAAAAAATGCTACAAACTCTATTCAAATTAAAAAGTAGAAGAGGATAACAATCACAGTAAAAAGAACGATAGAACTGCAAGTATTTCGGAGATATTGAACGAGACTATATTCGCAGTTTATTATATTCCATCAGCAGATTAACTTTAAGGTAAAATCACTAGCATGGTACATTCAAAAAAGTCCGAGAGCCTAGGAACTTTTAGAATTCGCAATAAATTGTTGTCTCCCAGTTAATGTGATAGTAATACAACTTGCCAAAAATTTCGAAGCTGATTTTAAGATTTCAATAAGTAGTCGCCGAATTTCGAAAAAATTGTCGTTTTACTAATAGACCTAACGAAAAGATATCAAACGCCCTCTATAATTCATAAGAAATTTCTGAAAAGAAACGGAAAAAAAACATTCTTAAGTACTAAATCCTGAGAAGCAATTAATGTGCCATGTTGATAACCAAGGTGTTAAAAAACGGTTTGTTACAAATTATCACAACAATTACTGATACATAAATAAATGTAAAAACTGTTTCAAAATAAAGATGCAGCTGTACGCACAGCTTTGAAAACATTTTCATGAAGCAGCCATTAACAGTGGTCAGAAACACGTCAAAATAGCAACAGAAAAATGTAACGCGAAACATCGGAGGAAAGCATCATTATCCACGGGTGTTGGTGGCACTGTGATACATTTTCTCTTCTCGACGAAAATTTATCAATTATTTCATCGAATTCTACTTAACGAAAAACATGACAAAGGTTGCGAAAGTTCAAGAGAATTGCAAAGATGCAGCAATGGAGTATGGAAGAACTGAATGCAACTTAATACTAAAAACATTAAAAATTCACTTTGAAAAGCATGGAATACAAGACAATTTATCTTCGGACTGACAAAAATGGGTCAATAATTTGAGGTAAATAAAACTAACTTGTCTCCCATCAGCAACCCTACTTCTTTACTGTGCAAGATACTCTATAAAATTGACACAGCTTTTCCAAACGTCCAGAAAACTCCCTAACAAGCATCTCTGCATTGAGCTCAAAATTAAACCCAGGAAAATTCAAGCTTTATTATCAAAAAACGAATATGTAGGATTCTCATAGCCATTCACTTGCATCCCATTAACATGTCGCTCCCCTGGAGTACAAACGTCAACCTGAAAAAGTCAATCCACAATAATGCCAATTTTCCCTACCAAACTTTAAAGTTTCAGACTCTATTAAAATACAAGAATTTGCTGATATTTATACCATATGTTTTAGGACGAAAGTCTGGAAATGTATGAAAAAAGGAACCTCGATGAAGCCACGACGTCGCGGTCGTTGACGAATTAAAACAATGGCAAACACGACAAAAATAACAGTAGCAGCAAATACGAAAACCAGTAGTAAGTTCTTTGAAGTTTTGAACGCACTTGTCGAGGCATCCTCCGTACTTATCTGCAGAAGCATTAGTTCAAGATCATCGCAAGTAAAGTTCTAGAAAATGAATAATAACCACCAAAATGCAAAGGAAGTTGCACAGTAAGAACAGTGGAACTAACTATCGCAACAGTGTTTAGAGAAAAAAGAAAGCTGGACCTTGAAATGCTTTAGTGGTTCATGTCTAGCAAAAGATGGTTTCGGTGGTAAGTCGTGCACCCTAACCGGCTCACTCACAATAGGTTCAATTTCAACATGAAGTTCTCGTTCGACTGATTTGCTATTCGATAAAAGGTCTTCATCAGTATCATCGACGATGTTCTAGAATTCAAATTCATTTCAAAGAGTAAAAAAGTATGTCCGAGTATGGATAAAAACCTTAATAATTTCAACCCTATCTTTGTCAATAAGTCCACACAATTCACAACGAATCCGCTGCAAAAAATATCAAGAAGACCTGTATAGGGGTCTAAATTTTCGAAGCGATTAGGGACTTCAGTTTGAAGTGACCTCCTCCTGATCCTCCTCCTCCTCCTCCTTATCATCATTCATCATCCATCCATTCATTCATTCCTCATTCCTCATCCATCATCCATTA